GTAGTATAACGATTGATCTTTTTTACAAAGTTAGGTGATCGAATGTAGTATAACGATAGCTCTTTTTACAAAGTTAGGTGATCGAATGTAGTATAACGATAGATATTTTTACAAAGTTAGGTGATCGAATGTAGTATAAAGATAGATCTTTTTACAAAGTTAGGTGATCGAATGTAGTATAACGATAGATCTTTGTACAAAGTTAGGTGATCGAATGTAGTATAACGATAGATCTTTTTACAAAGTTAGGTGATCGAATATAGTATAACGATAGATCTTTTTACAAAGTTAGGTGATCGAATGTAGTATAACGATTGATCTTTTTACAAAGTTAGGTGATCGAATGTAGTATAACGATAGATCTTTTTACAAAGTTAGGTGATCGAATGTAGTATAACGATAGATATACGCCGATGGTAAGCCTTACATTCTAAAGTCTTCGTTTGAATGCTCAGTTTTCGATGGTTTTGCAGCAGTCGTCTTGATGCTCATTGGCTCATCATTAATACGTGTGTATCGTTTTTAGAATCTTGAACATCCACTAACATGACAATAACAGGTGGATAGTTAAGCCTCATGTATAACGACTGACATCGATTAGTAAGTGTTAAAATAACATAGTTTTAAAGTACGTTTACTTCCAGTTGTATCGAAACACCAAAAAGCCAGCATTATACGGTGATTTTTTATGTAATATCAGCAAAAAATGAACGCATCTTGTTGTTTATGTATAATTATTTTACGATTAGTTAGGCTTAGTTTTGAACACCTTAAGAGTTATCTTGTAAGATATTCTGTAGTGCAGGTAAATAAAGAAGGCCTAGCTGTTACGACTACACAGAGGATATCTGTTCTAGAGGTCACAAACTTGGAACTGATAGAACAGAAGGAAGCCGCTTACTCCCAACCCTTGGAATATTCTTATCTGACCGAATAGTGTGATTTGACTGTCACACTTATATCGCATCCACGGCTCCAAAGTGTAGAGTGCGATTGTACGGAAAAGGCTTGCGAACCATGGATCCTAGGTTTCACAGTCAGGTACGCTAACCACTAGGACACGTCCGATCCAGTGTTACGACTTAGTGTGTTGTGACGATATCATTGCATCATTAGTTTAGTAAAACAATTAGACAATGTGCAAAATAAAGTACCTAAAATTCCATGTCATTAGGTTTGAATAAAAACAAATAAACAGTGTGCAAAAAAAATCGTAGCTAAAACCCTACTTCAAAAGCTCGTCACTAACAACCATATGAATGTTTGTTTGTTTTTGAATTTCGCGCAAAGCTACACGAGGACTATCTGCGCTAGCCGTCCCTAATTTAGCAGTGCAAGACTAGAGAGAAGGCAGCTAGTCATCACTACCCACCGCCAACTCTTTGGATACGCTTTTACCAACGAATAGTGGGATTGACCGTTACATTATAACGCCCCCACGGCTGAAAGGGCGAGCATGTTTGGTGTGACGGCCATATGAATGTAAAATGAGTTGAAACTTTTATTAATTGTACAAATATGTTATCATACGCAGGTGATTATTTCCCAGGTTGTTATTAGTTTTGATTTATTTAGATATCTTGCTTTGATCGGAAGTTATTGGTAGTATACGACAAGTTTTTACCTTTTTTGGTTTAAATTTAATCTAGATTCACTCGAAATGAAACATCTGTACTTATTCTCTAAACGCTTCTTCCACATCATTTAATGTTTGCTGTTTCTAATTGAAGCTTCAATCTTATCAATAAAGGTTTCTTAACAAATTCTCCAGAATAACTTGTAAATCGCCGATTTTGCTCTTTGTAAAAGAAAACAAAGGTCGATGTCTGGTCTACATTCAACAGTCATCAGTGCTACATTCTATAATCTAAAAAAAATCTGTTTAAACTATACTATTTACATATAGTGTTACACTTTAGAGTTGAATGAAACAGATGAGTTAGTGTTAAAATCTGTTTAAACTATACTATTTACATATAGTGTTTCACTCTAGAGTGGACTGAAACAGAAGCATAATATTATGAATACAAGTTGTTTAGCAAAGACTGACAGTAATATGATCATAATATGACTTAACTAAAACCTTTCATAAAAAGACATGCAAATCTATTTTCGTAAATTACAAATCAAATACTATTTTAAACACAGGGTGCTTTATATCAATTAATTCAAACCAAATCAATTCGGTATGATATGCACACACAATAACTTTTTTTATGCCTATTTCGTTTCTTTCCTTAAAGAAATAATAATTTTCGTCGAACTATAAAATGTTTCAACATTACTGTTTGTCACAAGAACAAAACTTCTGCTTCATGAAACAGATCAGAAGAACTCAATAATTCATCCTTTATGATGTCTAGCGAGTTTCTACTAATCGTCACTCATGCATGCCTTCGTTTTTAATCTATATCCAAAAGTGTCAAAACAATTTCAATCTTAATGCACTTTATTCTTCTAATAGAAGCTTTCATCTGGCTGCTGCACAAGTTTTTGAACCATTTCCATTAACAGATTGAAAACTTTATAGAAAATGATTTAATATTAAGTTAACTGACTTCACAAATATATCGACTTATGTACATAAATCAAATCTCAGTGTTAAATCAACTTACATAAACTTCCTCCCATTGACTGACGTATCGAACCAGCCTTGAGAGACGTAAAAGTCTTAGCAAACTCAACATCTTGGCTAATCGTATAATTCTCAAGGCCCGGCCAGCGTGTAAGAGTTGAAAATTATCACTGTAGTCCTGGTTAAAGATGAGGAAAATATAATCCAAGGGAATGGAACTAATTAGGTCCAGAAAAAACCAAGTTCGGATGTAGTATTTAGCAATAAGCTTAGGATCAAGAATCACTTGCTCTGAATTGTCACGATTCATTATTCCTAGAAAAAAATCAGATCGAGAGATGGCGCTGCTGGTTAAATTATCTGTGTAACCTTCAAGTAAGACAACATAATTTTTTTTTACATTTTGTAAATTAAAATAAATTTACTAAATAAGTAAATATTATATTAAGACATATATAATATCTTACACAAATATAAATCTTAAATTATTAATAATAACGTTACACTTTAAGGTTATTCGGACGAAAGTAAAAGTTTTCAATATATATAAATTTCTTTAGAAACAATAGGCCCCCCCAGTGGCACAGCGGTATGTCTGCGGACTTAGAACGCTAGAATCCGGGTTTCGATACCCGTGGTGGGCAGAGCATGGATAGCCCATTGTGTAGCTTTTTGCTTAATTACAAACAAACAAATTAGAAACAATATGAACGATATTAAAATAGACTGTTGGACGCGTGATTGTAGAAAATACAACACAGAACGATTTGCTTAACAGAAAGTAACTTTATCAAAAGATAAATTTAGTGTCAGTTGTCACATGTCAAACACACTAAACAAAGTGTTTTAACTTGGTGTATACATAGGTGGATGCTGTTTTATATGTCCCCCGGTGAGTCATTGGTAAGTCTACACACTAAAATTGATTCAATTCCCCGCAGTAGACGGAACGCAGATGGCCCATTGTTTAACTTTGAGCTAAACCAAACAAACTATGTTCTAAACATATTTCTATCGTTGCTGTTCAGCTTTAACAATTTGAACGGACTCTGTCGTTTTTAACATTCTAAACAGACGCGAAAGCTTTGTTCTACATTATACACAGTCTTGTAACGCCAGGTTCTATACAAACATTAAACTGTGCTGTATTGTACATTCTAACGTTTTACTATTTAAATAGACTCCGATGCTAAACCCAATATTCTAAACATATATCCACTCTGCATTCTGTCCTTTAAACATACACCGATGGTAAGTTGTACACCCTCAAGCTAACACACCAGTTTAAGTCCACAATAGAGTGAAACTAGAATTAACCTTCCACCTAACTAACGTTCTCAACAGCAAAGTGTCGTTTATCATTTATTGGTACGTTTTCTTAGAAGCAAAGTTGACATTTTGCAGTATTATCTACAAATTATCACATTCTCATCAGTATTATGTACAAATTATCACATTCTCATCAATATTATGTACAAATTATCACATTCTCATCAGTATTATGTACAAATTATCACATTCTCATCAGTATTATGTACAAATTATCACATTCTCATCAGTATTATGTACAAATTATCACATTC